TTGAGTCACCGTCCCTGGAAGTATTTAAAAGACGTGAAGATGTGGTTGCTTAGGGACATGGTTTAGTGGTGGGCTTGGCAGCGCTAGGTTAACAGTTGGACTTGATGACCTTAAAGGTCTTTTCCAACTTAAATGATTCTATGATCCCATTATTAACAGGATAAGAAACATAACTTTTATGGTTGGAAGGCAGGGGAATGGAGGAAACAACACTGCAAGGTGTAAAGTACTAAAAATGTTTGAGTCTGCGTCACTATAAATGCACCATTTTTTTTCCCTACAGGACAATGTAGAATTATCATTGTATATGTGCAAATAATTGTTTATACTACCATTACTTTCAAGAATAGATCTCAGAAATTTTGATGGAGTCAAGAATGTGTGAAACATTAACACAGGGTTCCTTGCCAAGAGAATTATTTACCTAGTTTAGCATTCAAGTTACATAATTTAGACTTGATTATGATGACATTCACAAATCCAAATTCTAACATTATTTTTTACAAATTTAAAAATTATAATAAAAACATACCTTTTCAGCAAGAACGTTTAATTCCCCTTTTGACATCAGAGCTATGAATGGTCCAACATCTAATGTTGTTTCAGCTGTCCAGTTGTTTGGGGAGCTGAAGAAACATTTTGGAAAATTATATCAATGAAGAAAGTTTGCAATCAAAGTTATACTAAAACTTCAGAGTTTTTCTTATACTGTATCATATAAGAAACACAGACACTTCTACGCCAATGTGATGATTCATGCTTATTAACATCAGATTGCATTTTCTCATCTCTCTGTGATATATAGGGCATTAGTGGAATTCTCAATATATTTAGAGAAAGCCTTCAAATATTGTGGTAATGGAGCTCTCTCTCTCCCTCAATAGTCATAGTATTCTTAGCACTACAGTCTTCAAGCAAGGAGAAATAATTCTTTTTTTAAAAGAAAATTTACCATTTTCTATCAGGTTCATACTGCAATAGTAGTCTGCAAAATGGTATCAAAAGAGAAGTAGAAACCTCATAACCAAAATTGAAACCATCTTTTTTCCAAGAATCTTATCCTAAGGACCAATGTGGCTAATACTTCAAGCAAGCAACACTTGCCAGTACTTGCTTATAAATTAAAAAACCCCCTCCTCTATTCCAATATTTAACTGTTTGCAGGTGTACAGGGGCTGTTTTTCATTGGTGTTGGCCAACTGTAACATTCCCTGATGTCAGCAGGAGCTGCGGGTGCTCAACATTTCTGAAAAACAGGTCCATGCACACTTAGGAGAAGTGGACAGTTTCCCCCTCATTCTGAAAATATTGAGTTCACTAAACAACTCAGGAAAGTAACTCAGTGTGGCACCAGTCTGCTGCTAATGCTGCCTTTTTAAAACTAAGGAACAGAAACATGAAACATAGGTGATGGAACAGAAGATTTAAATCCATACCTTATTAGCTCCATGTTTTTACTGTCTGCTATTTCATTCATCTGCAATATCAAGAGTTATGGAAGGCAGATCTAACACCTTGGAGAGCCACATCTAATGACACCTATGCCATTTCTGTATGAGAGATCAGTTCTGTGATAGGTACCATATCCCTTGACATAACATGCTAAATTATTTGTAGGAATTTCAGGTCTTAAACATTAAGTTCAGGTTCAGTTCTGAGTGGTGCTGTGTGTTTCAAAATGTATGTAGCTTAGCACTATGCAGGTTTGGCCTGTTTGTTTGACACAAATCTGACAAATGTTAACCAACCCAGTTGGTGGTTGACTTAAGAAAGCGCTTGGATAAATAATTTTCAGCCTGAAAAATCCTGAAGAAGATGGTAGTAACAAATCTGTTACTAGTGCATGTTCTCACAGAAAACATTATTTGGTTGGTTGCTCCACTATGAGGATGTTTGACTAGACAAATATTTTCTAAATAAAATAAAACAAAATAAATAAAATATTATTTAGCACAGTGTGTCATGATTCAATAAAATGGATCTGTATCAGGATTAATGCAGGGATGGGATCTGGTGGAAAATATAGCTATTCCATTACCAGAAAAATGCTGACGAGGAGGAAGCTGAATGAGCAACTAAAATGATTAGGTGGATAAAGTGACAGACTTTGGGGCTGAAGGGATGGTTAGAAACTATGCATTCAGTCTCCCTTTTCAAATGCAAGATACTTCTAAGAGACAATGCAAGAGAGAAACAGTATATTCTTGCCAGATAGAGGATGGCTTTGTTTTTTGCATGACTGATGCAGCAGTGTGGTTCCAATCAGCCTCCTAATCTGAGTCATTAATGACATCTAACATGCTGTCCGCTTTGTTGCTTCAGTTGGTTGAACTTTACATCCCTCTGCTTCTTTTCTAGCTCTCTCCCATTGCCACAGGTGCTTGCAGTCTTCTTTATTTCTCTTCTCACACCAGCACACTGAGTATCCCACTTCCATTTTCCCATTCTTTGCATTCCTGCGCCATTCTTTGCCTGTAACGCCCTTTCTCTTGCCATGCCAGAGAGTCTGTTTGCCTGCCCCTCCTCAAACATTACACTTTCTCCCTTTTCCTCTGGGACTTAAGTCATGCAGGGTGTCCCTGGGGTTGTATTTTGTTCCACAGTTACCGTGTTACACACAAGAAGAGAAATGTCATTCTAGTGAACAGAGACCCCAAGGTCAGCCAGTGATAGAAGTTGCTTTGTGTTGTTTTCATTGCAGCTCTATCTGGGCAAAGCAAACGGTTGGTATTTGCATGGCTTAACCATCAGCATAAGCAAGGCGGTGTATCTAATACCTTACCCATATAACTCGAGGAGTTTGTATTTAATTTCAGTCTTCTGCTCGTGGCTGAGCTGTTGGCAGAGTTTGAATTGATGAAGGGCTGTTGCCATTGCCTTCAGGGACATTCTGCCACGTAGAAAGGCTGGAGGTAAGTGGCAGATTAGATTTCCAAGTAGATCAACATCATATTCATCAGCAATGGAGCCGTTCTGAAACAAGAAGCATTTACCTTGTTGGCAGAGCTAATCTTGGCTCTTGCCCTGTATCACTCAACTGCATCACAACACATTTAAGCTCTGTGACCCTTTAAGGAACAAAGACACAACAGTTTGCACTGGCAACTTAATCTACAGTTTCTGCCGAGACTGCTATACTTTTTGCTTTTACCAATGCAACTGGTGATATTTAATAAGCACTTGTCAGAGCTTTCAGTGTATTCTTTATTCTATATTGAAGCACACACAAAAAAATAATTAAAACTAAATCTCCTGCCACAGTCTCTATATCCAGGTGACCACCCAACACCTGCAGAGGTGGTGCAGTTCTGCCTGGCGGGAGGGCCCTCACGTGGCCCCTTGTGGCAAAGGGGCCACAAGCTCTTGCTGTCAGAAGGCTTAGCTCTGAGGGCTTTCTCAAGCAGCTGCCAAAACACGAGGGATTATAGGCCTAGTTAGTATGTACAAGGACATGAATATTCACAGCTACATCAAAGAACGTTTCCCCTAAAAACTGGTGACTGCTGCAGCTCTCAGACAGCAGAAGTCACATAATCCTCCTGGTACCACCACCTCTCCCGTGGAGCTTCCTGTGCCACGCACAGCTCTACAGGACTAGCACTGCTTGGAGCAAGGGGGAACAGCTCCAGGTGCAAATGGGTCAGAACCCGGCCAGTTCACTGTGGTCAGCAATGACATCTCATGAGAATGCTTTGTAACATGCATGGAGTCAAGGAAAATTGTTAAGGAAGCTATAAAAAGGTTTCCTTAGGCAGGGAACAATAAAATTGAAACAGTACACGAAAAAAACATAAGAATACAGATGGGTAAGTCAAGAACTTACGTAGATGGTGAGTGACATTACTGTATGAAATGCAGTACAGTAATATGTGCAAACAGAACCCCAGAATGGCTGAATTTGGAAGGGACCTCTGGAGGTCACCAGGTGCAACTCCCCTGCTCAGATCAGGTCAGCTACAGCAGGTTGCTTGGGGCCTTGGCACTAAGAGCTTCTCTGAGCTAGGCGATAGTCTAAGCTGCTCTTGCTTGTGAGGATGAAGAAATTAGCATGCTGTGTTATTCCCTTTTGGGCGCTCAGAGCCCATCAGCTATGATTTCACCGCACAAACACAGAGCAGGAGAGCCTGTGCCTCAGGTTGCTGTCTGTATAGAAGAGACCATGGGTGTGCGCATGCGGACCGGAGAGTACAAGTAGGCAGGATAACTTTGTGATGCACCACATGACAATAAAGGGAGAGAAAACTAATCGACCACTCTCATTTAGCTTGGAATTATCAGTGGCTGATTACAGATTACTTTTTTTGCAGCTCCCCCTCCACTGCTGACCCCTCCTAGCCACACCTACCAAGCACTCCTGTACTTTTTGCAGGACAGCGTTCTTTTTGTGAAGGCTTGGATTCAAAAGGTCCATCTCAGTCTTCCCCAGGCTTTCAATGAAAGGAACACACAAAGGGCCTGAGACATACTCCAGGTATTCAATCCTGCAGAAAGAATTCAAATGGTCTCAGAATGTAAACCTGACCTTCATACACCCATAAGCACACCCATAAAATCTGTGATGACGTAAAAATTTAGAGACAAGGCTGGACTTGAAAAATTATAAACC